GCATGAGGAGGATAAAAATAAGAAGAGCAGGAGGGGCTAAAGGGGGAATTCAACCCAACATCTAGTACTTCAGCAAGGACAAAATTCAGAATACTACCGTATAAGAGAGAGGCAGAATCGAGCAATAATCTGGAAATAAATTCTCTTTACAATTGCGTACAAATAGCAAGGCTATTTTCTTTCATTTTATCTTGCTGAGCATGTCTTATCAACAGAAAAAACTTAAGCAAGGAAACACAAATATTCATGGTTTAATTCAAAAAAACATTCAGTTTTTTTAACAGATTAAAAGGTTATCTAACCTCAGCTGCAAGGTACCACAAGGAATGTGCATGGCAAGCAGCCACGTTTGTAATGCTGTGTAGTAGAAGAATCTGCAAAACAACTGGGAATTCTCTTTCTTGCTGACCTTTACATAAGAACATAAGGAAATCCATATTTTTTAGACTAAAGACCATCAAATCTAATAACTTGCTTTCTACACTGACCCACCAGATGTATCTTGGATGTATCTCACATGCGGGACCTGTAAGAAAATCTTCCATAACACAAACTCCCAAGCAATGCATGAATGTATGTAACTGTATATGCATGTGTGTGTATATTCAGATGCTTATCTATTCATACTTACACATGTGCACGTACATATGGAAAAAGAAAGTGAATCTGCATGGCTATCCTATCTTTCCTGCCATTCTTCTCCCCGATATAGACTAGACTAGACTAGACTAGACTAGACTAGACTAGACTAGACTAGACTAGACTACACTACACTACACTACACTACACTACACTAGAATTCTTTATTGGCCAAGTGTGATTGGACACACAAGGAATTTGTCTCCGGTGCATAAGCTCTCAGCGTACATACAAACAACAAGTGATAAATCACAATCATAAAATATAATCATAAATCATAAGATACAAACTCAATGATAGTCATGATACTAGATAAGCAAAAAACATAAATCATAATAGGATACTAAATAAAGACAACATAAATCATGAGATACATACAACAAAGTTATAGTCATAAGAAATAGGTAATAGGAAAGATGAAAAGATGAGAAGAATAATAGATAACATTAAATATAGCTGGAATGAAAGTAAAAGACAAGATCATGAAGTCTGAAAACAAGCACATAAACTTTCACAAATACTTCCCAGTTTCTTTGCTGCATAAGTGTAATACTAAATACAACAGAATAGAGTAAGTTCTGCTAAATATTAATTTCTTCTATATGCAGAGCCAGAATTTCACACAGAGAAAGCCAGATTATGAAATGTTCAGGATAAAAACTGTGGCCAAATTTTCCAGTGTGATCAACAATCATCAGGCATACTGAAATGATGAGGTCTTCTGGACTTTTTTGGCACAGTGCATGGTTGGCACATCAAAGGCTTGGTAGTCATTTTTGTTATATTCACAGAGCTATATAAACATAATGCCCTGTCTTGGATCTCTGTCTGAAAATGGAAGGATGGAAGGATCTTTCGGAACTACAGGAAAAATGGTGTAGCAGGCTTCAGGAAGCAGGGAATATTTTTGGTCATGGAAAGTTCTACTGGCTCTTTACCATTAAAAAAGGATTGGACTAATTCATGTAAATCATAGGGACCAATGGCTATTAGATTTGATGTGTTGCTGCCTTTAAAAATGATCAGATGGGAGACCAGTAGGCTTCCTTGTGCAATAAGTTGGCCACTATGAGAACAGAATGCTGGACTAGAAGGGCCAAGGGCAGAGGTGGGATTCAGCCGGTTCTCTCTGGATCGGGCGAACTAGTAGCAGCGATGATGAGAGGCTCTGCCCACCTGCCCGGACATAATGCACGAGCACTGCGCATGCACAGAAGGCCATGAGCATGTGCAGAGGAGGCGCGGGCGCTCACATTTGCAAACCAATAGGGAAGGTAAGTGAATCCCACCTCTGGCAAGGGTGTGATCAAGCAGGATGTTGCTCATGCTTTTTGTGTTATTTTCTTACTTTTAATCAGTGGACAGATACAACTGAATCCAGTTGTTTGGTATACCAGCTTTGGTATATATATAAGTGCTTATAAAAGTGCTCTCTGTCTCTCTCTCACACTCTCTGACTCTCTCTTTGTCTCAGTCTCTCTTGTTTTCTCTCTCCTCTCTCTCTCTCTCTCTCTCTCTCTCTCTCTCTCTCTCTCTCTCTCTCTCTCTCTCTCACACACACACACACACACACACACACACACTACAAAACTTAGTGTTTAGATTTGTTTTTATTTCATATATCATACTCCAGGCCTTTCAAAACTCTCAAAAAGTCCAAGAAATAAAACTAATTCTAATATTTTCAAATTATCACTTATTTTGCAGCCTTGCACTTCAGAGGTAAAGATGATTAGAACTTTGATATAAAGAATTAAGCACGATATACAAAGTGTTCTAGTTAAACCCAACAGTGAATCAAGCATTCACACCAGTATACCAACTCTCTTTGCATTGGCAAGTTTTGTCTGGAGCAGGATATAGGTGCTAAGAATGTCTGCTTCGCACACTATAATTGCTGTTAATTTCATTCCTATTTTTTTTTAAAAAAAGAATAAAGCTGAGAAATCACAGAGTGCTATGGTTTTCCAGCTTATTTGCTAATAATAAGGACAGTAGTGCAATTTTCATGTTTCTTCTTTGTATTTCTTAGAAAACGTAGGGACAACTCATATGTCCACATAAAAATTGGCCCACAAGAAAAGCTGGACATGAAACGTTTGAAGTTTATAGATTCTGCAGATCACTGTTAGTGTATGGAAAAGTAACCTGCATATGCAGCCAATGGGAAAACATAATCTACACATCTGCATTCGTGTGTATGAATTCAAGAGAAACAACAGATAAAATGATACATTGGGTTAAAGCACTCCAGATCGCCCATATGCAGTACTCCCCTAGGATAATGTGGCTGAGAGTTGTTTTAGGTCTGTCTGAGAAAGGAAGGAAGGAAGGAAGGAAGGAAGGAAGGAAGGAAGGAAGGAAGGAAAGAAGGAAGATAGATCCTGGCAGTTGAATTTATAGTTGATAACCCATACCTGTAAAATTATACGAATTTTAATTTTAGATTAACTAGAATTATCAAAATACAACACACGTACAGAAATTATTAGCATATATAAAATGCACAAAGTTTACCTTGGTTTAAGTATTTTAGTTGGACTAAATTATTTTCTCCTAATCTTTATATGTAGGTAGTTGCACTTCTTAATGTTGATATATAAAGATCCCCAATATTGCACTGAAATGGAATAGCATTTCATATTCATGCTGCTACAGAATATAAAAATAACATAACATTTTTCTTTGAAGTACATATCTATTTGTGGAGCATTTCAGATCTTATGGAGAGTTCTTACAACCATTCCTACTATTTTGTTTTAAAATAACCAAAAGAACAGCAGAAATAAAGTCCTGGATGCTGCTGCTCAGAGAATAAACATTGAGGAATAATATAACTTACTATCTTGTTTATTTGGTTTAATGGAAATATTTAGCTGTCCATTTTGAGAAATGGGCTAATAGATTAGATCTTCCAGCATTTTACTTGCACCCTTATTTGTATTTACAATTTTGTTGATGTGCTTAATTTAGTTCCTATAATTAATGCCCATTGGTCTGTGCATACAAAACCAAAACTTATTATATGTGACAACATGATATTTGTATATTATAAAGCCCCTAATAAGAGATGCTTTAGAGGCTTAGTAACAAATTGATCAAGATAGTAACAGATGCCATCTTATTCAGGTTGTAAGATGTGGCAAAATATATTTTTGTAAGGTTGCTTCTACTTATTTCCACATGTTTCTTGTTTGCTTTCCACACTGAACATTAATTCAGGTTTCCTATCCTATATAACTTTTCTTCCATACTGTATACGTTTTGTCTCTGGAGCTAACCTCTTGCATTTTTTAATATCAGTATAGTAGTAAATGACCAAATTAATTTCCCCCTTTATCAAATAATCTAATTTTAATAAAACAAATATTTAATTCAAGCTGTGGGTGGTACTCAAGACATTCATTTATCAGAGATTCCAAGGGCTTTTAATGTTTGGCAAATATTGAGGATGGCTTTATGCAAATGGTTTGGCAGCTTCCATTCAATATGCTATTTAGCCAGAGGAGGAAAAATAATCTGACAAACAAAACATGTATTATGCAAATGAAACATTTTTTACGACGAAAATGATTTTCTTATTAAAGTTTCAATATTCATGATTATACTTTTCTTTTTCAAAAACATAGTTTTATTAAACTTATCAACTGATAAAATACCGATGAAAGTGAGAGTAGTGAGATAATGAAGAAGGGGAAGGGAGAAAAGTGTAGGATAAAAGGCGGGGGGAGAAAAAATCATTATCTTCTGACTCTTCAGTGCAGTGGAGTAAAATAATATTACAGCCTCAACTTTTTACTTTTGCATATTTAATATGTATTGGTCCTTTCTATAGCAACAAACTTGTCTAATTAGCAAATCTCAATTTTTGCTATATCTACATTTTTTATATCTAAATTTTTTTATATCTAAAGCACAAAATCCAGAAGCGTTTCCAAGTAGAAACAAAGTTAGATGTATTCTTTTCTTTGATTAAAGCATCTTTGCTAATCCATCAGTTTTTCCAGCAATTCTTTCATTGTGGGAATTAGCATTTATTTTCATTTTTGTGCATAGAGCGTTCTCACTGCTGTCAACATTATAAAAACAGAGTTCCAGATTTTTGCCCATTAAGCCTAAAAGAAAAGTCTCTGATTTATAAATTATTGTTTTCTGAGAACTTTAGCCATTCTTCATTTTGTTCGATCCCACTATCATCACTGGTGTATTAATGTCAAATAGTAATATATATTGATAAATTGATGAATTAAAGTGGCAGACAGGAATAGACATGTAGTGTAGGGTGCCTAGGCGTGGCTGTGGAGCTGTGTGGAGAGGAGTTTTTCAGAGTCAAGGTGTGCCTCCTAGTCTTTAAACTTTGCCCAGATCTTCGCCTACTTTCTCCAATTCTCTACTGTCCCCAGATCCTTACCATGCCAGCTTCTGGAGTTTTGCAGATCCAGCTGAGGCTGAATGAATGGAATGGTGGCTACTTGGAAAACCCAATGAGTAAGTCTGTTTGGTTGCTAAGCAGGGCATTCAGAGCAAGGCTGGAGTAGGCTGGAGTGGACAGTGAATGTGGTGGAGCAGATAGAAGGGTGAAGCTTCCAAAGCCAGTTGAAGGGCGCCCAAGAGAGTTGAATCAGGGCAGGAGAACGACCACAATTGCTGAAGTGACGAGTGACACACAGGGAGCCTCCCTTGGCCCATCACTGTCGGCATTCCTGATGGTTTACAGAGGAGATGAGGAAGTTGAAAAGGTTCAAGAGGTGTTTTGAGTGCCACTGGACAAAGATGAGGAATCAGTCTGATTGATCATGAAATCAGAGACACTGTTAAGCCCTACCTTTTCTGATAAGAGCAGCAAGTAAATGAGAATATATATATGCATGAATGTATTTACGCAGCATGTGAGAAGCAGATGGAAACAGGATCAAACTGTACATATACACTATGTAACTTGCTCCAGCTGATTTCAGTGTTGCTGCTCTGAAATTCAGCGTTCTGCTTTTCTATTTCACAAAATATTTCTCTATTAATATTACATTACCCTGAATTTAGAGTTTATGAATTTCCTAACCAATCTTATGATAATCTAAAAACATCCTAGAGCAAAGCTGAGGAGTTCTTTATATCAGTACAAGTGAAGACTGGTTAGCTTACAGTTACATATTTTCTTCCCTCTTACCTTCCCCATAAGAACTGAATGTTCCAGAGGTGGATGCCATCATCAACTATACCTCTTTTTAATCTTCCCAACTATTGCTCAAAAGGCACTGAGGATTTCATTTATTAATTTATATGCTACCCATCTCACTGTCCAAAGTGACTGCGGGTGGCTTACAATGTGATAAAATAGTTATGGTACATTGTTGGTTTGCTTTTAAATTTCTGAAGTTTGGATAGCTTGGATATCTGGTCTGCCTGGCCAATTAATGCCTCTTTAGTATTTTATTTTATATAGTTCTTCTAGACAACCCTCATTTATATTTAGCATTTCTTATTAAGTATGATGCTGTTATATTTAAGAATATTAATTCAGAAATTAATTTGTTTTCTACGCTTTCATAAGCATTGATGCATTGTGAAAGTTTCATTATACTATTTGTTCATTCTTGAAATAGTACTTTAAATTATTATTTTTGGATTTATTGGAGTTTGAATGTATCCATGTCTTCTGAAGTTAAAATGAAAGATATTAAAAAAGATTTATAAAAATAAAAAGAGTATTGGGTAAAGTCATAATAAGTCACAAGATATCAAAAGTAATATTAAACAATTAAGTAGCCTTCTACATTAATTACCAAATTCTAAGTGGAACCATATGATTTTTGCAACCTTTACAAAGGCTAGGAAGTTGGGCCCATGTGTGCCTGGAAAATACAACTTGTGAGGCATATTTTTCCACAATGTGAGGGCATATCACATGACAAGTTTTCAAGTTACTATCTGAATGTATAAGCAGCCACTGAGAAATTCTGGAGAACCAAATAGGCATAGTATTCTTGACTGATAGTGAACGCCTAAATCATTCCCTGATTTAGCTGGTTCAATAGTCACAGTTCCATGATGAATCTAAATGGTGGACTGAAATAGATCCAGGTAAGCAGTGCCATCTCCCAACTGCCTAGAATTTGACACATCAGTTCTAGCACCTTATCCACGACATTAAAGACACTGATGTCTTCTTTATAAGGCTAACCAGAGAGTTGTATTATTGCAGTATTGACCATTTCTGTAGCCTACACATTGGTTTTCCACATCTGGCTGCTTTTAATAGGAGGGACAAAGATCTATTGGGCAGGTTATAGGCCTCAGATCTCCTTGCAATGTCAATATCACATTCTTGTGTTATACAAACTAAAAGTTAGCTATGTAGCTCACGTAGATAGTATTGTAAATACATTCCTCTTTGACTGATGTAACTATCAAGGCTATTGGAATAGATAGGACCAATCCTATCTGTATATAATTATTCATAATGAACTTCTGAGGTTTTCAATGCTCTGTCCACTGGATGTCTTTGATGAGCCTGTAAATACTTGAAAGAAATGTGTTGATTACCAGGGCAGATGAAATGCTGGTAGATAAGGAAGAATTTTTATCTCAATCACTGCCCACAGGGTAGTTTGTCTGACGGGATGTAAATAGCCTGCTATTTCAGTGTTTTCCACTGGACTCAGTGGTTTATATGCCATCAACTTTTTACCATACAATACCATGAAGAGAAGAAAGTTCTGTCATTTGAAGTTATGCTTTTGATGTGACAGAATCAATGCCCCCGATCACATCTTATGGTCCCTGAAAGACCACCTGTAAAAAATCTTGCCAGATATGTCAAGAGAGGAGTAGCACACTACCTGAAAACACCCTGGCAGCAAGTAACCTAAACAGGGCCCTTTAGATTACCAATAGAATTGTATGCCAATCCAGTAGATCTTTGTGGTTCCATTTTCTATCTGGATCTAGCTTTCATTATTTTGAGCTGTCTCACATTTAGTTATTTAGAAGAAGTTTAAAGCTAAATTTGGTATGGCTTCTTACTATCCTATCTCTTGATTATTTTGTATTCCTACTATCTCCCAACTCAAATATGGATCATATTTCTCTGATTTATTATATACAGGCAGTCCTGCAACGGAGGCTCAGCGGGCTGGATCCAACAGAGGGCTTCTGAGGATCCGCCCTTCAGAAGCTCCATTTCGGCCGGCAACGTGCAGGACAAACGTTGCAACGCCTCTGCGGTTGTTCATAAGGGCGAACAACTGCCATGTGCTGCAAGATTCATAGTTTTAGGCCTTGTTCGGAAACACTAAGAGGCACTGATCGCATAATGTTCAAACATTCGCTTAGGGAACGCTCATAATGCAGGGATTATGTATTATGTGAATAATTTTTTAAAGGTGAATTATCTTCCCCAAATTAATCAAACTGTGGAAATGATGTTGAATTAATCAAATATGTTTAAGTGTGTAATAGGTGTATTTTTCTTTCAGATAAAAAATTTGCAGTATTTTATGTGTTCTTACATATATATAAGAAATATCCTCAAATCTATCAACCAAAACTTGCTTTTCCAATATCCATATTGAAGTAAAATTCATTAAATAACTCTTGTGCTGTTTGTTTTTCTTTCTTTTGATTAATTGAAATGTCTCATTTTTGCAATGTGCTCTTTTCTTTGATTTGTGTCATTTTTAGATTATTTTAGTTCAGGCTGTCTGTCCAGTTTTAGGTTTTAATGGATTTTTTAGAAAATTGTTCTCTGCCAAGAATTCATTACAGTTAGATGGCTATAATAAATTTAAATAAAATAAAAAATCAACACAGCAAATGTTATTTTAAAGATCAGTAAAATAAAGGAAATAAGAATGTCTGGATGTGAATCTACTTCATTATGTTATTCCATTTATTATGGTGTTATTTTACTTTGATTTATAATCCTTCTTAGTATGCAAGTGTGACAATCAAAGTGTTGTGACCGAGGCCCAAGTAGTGATTACCAAACACAATTCAGTCCTCAATAAACTTATTTTATTAAAACAGCTGAGAATTAATTCATTCTCAGCTTAGTCCAAAATAAATTCTTAATAACCAGTCCGTTGGCCTCATCGCCAACCTTTGATGTCTTGGCAACCTGCCAAAGGCTTTTCTTGGCAAACCCCCCACAAAGTTCAAGAGACGCTGACAAGAAGCACTGGAATCATCGTTGCTTTTCTACAAAGAACCCAACAGCTTGTTGCTCCTCTTTTAAGCCTTATGGGAGTAGCCAATCATCTTCTGGCCTTACTCCTAAGTTGTCCTTTTTGCTTCAGCTGCTCTTGCCTTCTGGCAGCTCTTTGCATGCATGCACTAGGAACAGGTTCCTCCTGTTCCTCTGCCTCTCTGCTGTCTGCCTCTGGCCTCTCTGCTGTCTGCCTCTGGAGGCTCCGGAGTCCACACATAACTCCCATATGGCCCTGGCCCCATCTCTGCCTCCAACACAGAGCCCTCGTCAGGGCCTTCCCCTGACTCCAGGACTGGCCCATTGTCCTCCGCAGCCTCACTGTCCGACTCTGCTGCCAGGTCCGCAGGCTGCTGGAGGACTACAACACAAAGCACATGCAGGTAGACCTTGACGTGCGAATATAATAGTGTCTGCCAATTACATTCGTAACCTGAGGAATTCATTAATGGGGTTGTGTTAATTGAACATGACAATGCATTCGCTAATCGAATGCTCAGGTTGTTAAGTGCACATGAAGTATCACAGGGTGGAGAAAACCATGGGGAGGGGGCCCTAGTACTTCCAACCACCCAAGGCTCCCCTGACCCACTGAGATATCTCATGCTCCACGGTGGTGGAACTCAATTTTTTTTACTAGCAGTTCTGTGGGCTTAGCTTGGTGGGCATGGCAGGGGAAGGATACTGCAAAATCCCCATTCCCTCCCCACTCCTAGGGGAAGGATATTGCAAAATATCCATTCCCACCCCACTCTGGGGCCAGCTAGAGGTGGTATTTGCTGATCCTCTGAACTACTCAAAATTTTCGCTACCGGTTCTCCAGAACCTGTCAGAACCTGCTGAATTTCACCCCTGATGCTCCCCCCACAATATCCTGCCCCACTGGGGCTCCATAGCCTGTTTCCGGACTTCCAGTAGGCCCGTTTTTCGCCCTCCCAGAGCCTCTGTGCAAACCCTGTACTTACCTGGCATCTAAAACGGGCTACTTGGAGACTTCTGGGAGGGGCGGGGTGGCATGGGCACCGTGCAGGTGAGACCCAAAAATCAGCTGGCCGGTGGGAGGCGCACGTGCATGCGCAGAAAAGCTGATCTAGGGCAATGGCTCGCATACCCACAGAAATGGCCCTGCATGCCACCTGTGGCACGCGTGGCATAGGTTCGCCATCACGGATTTAGAAAGTAATTGATAGCAAAATAGTTGACATCCTAAATTACAGAGGTCTGATGGTGTGACCTCATGCTCTTCTTTCAGCATTTCCAATCACAAAACAATTTGCTCTTCACCCAAGTGAAGACTGCAGCGAGCAGTTATGAACTGTTCCTACAGATAGGTCTAAGAGAGCTTCTGCAATTCTTCTGTACTGCCAGGACAAATTGTGGCAGTCTGATTAAACTCTTAAATTGAGGCGGTGTTTTTAAAGGTAATAAAACACTGCAGAAATTATCTGCAAAATTTGGCATTGTGTGCAAAAATTGAAAGTAGCTACACATTATACAAACACCATAAAAACTAGGAAGAATTTCCCATTTCAAATACACACACACAACTTTTTTTGTTATTCCTGAAATAAAATAAGTTGTAAAACATGGATCAGTGGGTCACATCCATTTCTACCAACCACCACCTGTATAGACATCTATTCCGATTTCATAATAACATAAAATGTTGAAATGTAGGTCCTTATGGTTTTCAACATTGCAAAATCCACTAACTGAATCAAACTTATGGGCCTGCACCAGGACGCTCATCTGTACAATTATTTTTGTTGACGTCCAGGTAGGAGGATGTTGCATTTGAATACAAGAGCAATTTAAACTTTTTAATAGAAGATGGGGAAGCCTTATAATTAGAAATCAAAAAGAATCTGCTCTTTAATGGACAAGCACTGGAACGAAACTTGACAGCAGAAATAGTGTGAAAAGTTGGAAGGAATACCAACAGGAAAGAACAACTAGATGCCCTGTGAAATTATGCTCACAGAGCAAGATTTTATGCCAAATAGCAACCCAGTATGGGAGACTGCACAGTTATTGAGCTCAGATATAAACTGTGATTTCTGGTGGTTTTCTCGGGTCAGCACATTACAGTCATATGAGTCGTAGGTGGATGTTTTGATTCCATTACATCCGATTTTTCCATAATGCGTTCCATCAGTTTTTCTACCCGCCTTGGGAACAGGCAAGCACAGCCGACGTCAAACATTTTGACTTTCTAGTTGGAGCACAAGGTCCCAAGGCGAATCGGGGAAGAACCGCAACAACTCACCCTATTATATAATAAGGCTGCGGTTAGATTGACAGCCGTTAACAGACCTTCCGATCTCGAAACGAGTTTATCACGACCTGCTTGCTTCCCTTAACCCGAAATAAACTCAACCTATTTTAAGATCTTTTTTTTTTTTTTACTGTAAATTCTACATTCCCCGGTACGTATATCAAAATAATACGGATTAGTTAAGAGATGAACAAAAGAGTTAATTATACATTCGAAAGCCTGCAGCGGAATTCTTAAGCGAATTGTTTTCCGTCGGGAAATGGGCAGGGCGTCTAAACTGTTCGAAGAACGCGAGACATTATATATAGGGTCATATGCAAAACCAGCGACGCTTTTGCAAACTGCGGATCGACTTTCCAACGGAATAAAAAACGATTCACAGAACAGGCGGTTGTCCTAAAGGTTGGAAGCAGCTGCAAAAAAAAGCAAACTTTAAAAATGCCGCAGGAATGCGGTCGGCGTGGTGGGGTGGTTTTTTTTTTTTTTTGTTCTTAAATTTGGTTCTTAAATCTTCTCTCGGCACTTAATATGACCTTGGCCGGCCCAGGGAGGCGCAGAACCGGGAGGAAAGAAACAAAAGGGAAATAGGAGGAGGAGGAGGAGGGAAAATGGGCAGCAGAACAGAAGATCCCACCCACATCCTTAAAGGAAATTCTCAAGCTGGGAAGACGCACAACTTTCGCATGACAAGTTGAAACCGGCTCTCCGGGGAGTTCCCTTTGCAGGGGGAGGGAAGAGGAAGCGAGAGATCTCCCCTGACCGACGGAGGGACTCGTAGCTCCCTCTGCGATCAGGGAAGCCCCGCCTCCTTCCTTCCTTCCTTTCTTTCCCTTTCCCTCCCTCCCTCGCTTTGCACGGAGCACCTCTCGTACACGCTCCGTCTGTCAAACAGACACACGTTCGAGCCAGGGCTCTCGGGGACTGGATCTTCTGGTTCAGCCTACTTCCCCTCCCTTCTCCGGGACGCAATGGGGGATCCGATGACATCACTGGCTGAGCTCTCCCCTTGCTCTCTCCCCTTGTAACTTCTGTTCTGGGAAGTGGTGCCAGGAATAACCCAGTCCGTCTGCAGATCAGAGAGGCTCCTATCATCCAGAAGGGAGGAAAAATACAAACACTCGCACACGCAACCGACCACTGCGGCCTCTCGGCCCTCGTCCTTTAAGGCTGATATATTTATAGACATACCTACTACACATACGAATAGTATCTGTATCCGTGCGGGTGTGTATGTACTTGTATACGGCGCGAGAAAGACAGCGCGGGTAGATACTTTTTATTCTATTTAATCGAGGAGGATAAAAGGAGAAAGCGATGATCGATTTGAACAGAAACACACGAATCAGACACCCGTTGGCTTGTGGAATACCTGTCGCTATTTAAAGCAAAGCTGCAAGGCACCCCAGACCCAGGCTTAGTAAGGGCGCAACAAGAAATGACACGCGGTGCAGAAGGCTTTCCTTCTCGTTGACTCCCAGGTGAGCTTTTGCTGCAAAGATACCTACCTGCCTGTCACCTCGTTTATTTCCAATACCGAATCCTTCTCTTCGGGGGAGGGAAAAAATAACTGACAGTTCTTTGACATGGCCCTGATCCTTGTTACTGGAGCTTACGTTGGCCATAAAATAAGGAAGCGGAGAAGGGATCGGACTGTTTCATTGGCTGCTTGCTTTTCGGTGTGTGTGTGTGTATGGGGGGGGGGAAGCAATAGAAAAGCAAGGGCTCGTAGTTATAACGATGCGCTGCCCTGTGGTGTCTTTTTGAGCCATAGTTGGAAAGATGATTGGGTTGTCAAGTGAGGTGACCAAGGGAGTGGTCGGGGACAGCGTCCGGCTCCGGGCTATTCAGTTCCCGCGGGGGAGATAGGGAAGGTGTCCGTGTCTGGGGGACTGGGGGAGACAAGACGTATGTGTAACGTCCCTCGCTTCGCTTGTCATGTGGGTAACGGGGCTGGTCACACAAGCCGCGCGTCGCAGAGAGCGTTTCTCTACCGCCTGTGATGCAGCGCACATTTGACTAATGGAAACCGATCTTGCAGAGACCCTTGCGAGCGTTGTCACATGCTGTTCCAGTGTGTGGCGCTTCTTGATTTGCATATTCGAAGTTCAGATCT